CTGGTTTAGTCCTGGTTTAGACCTAATGTAGTCCTAGTTTAGTACTTTTTTAGTCCTGGTTTAGACCTGGTTTAGTCCTGGTTTAGTACTGGTTTAGTACTGGTTTAATCCTGGTTTAGTCCTTTTTTAGTCCTGGATTAGTCCTAGTTTAGTCCTGGTTTAGTCCTGTTTTAGTCCTGGTTTAGACCTAATGTAGTCCTGGTTTAGTCCTTTTTTAGTTCTAGTTTAGACCTGGTTTAGTCCTTTTTTAGTCCTGGTTTAGTCCTGGTTTAGACCTGGTTTAGTCCTTTTTTAGTCCTGGTTTAGTCCTGGTTTAGACCTGGTTTAGTCCTTTTTTAGTCCTAGTTTAGTTCCTGGTTTAGACCTGGTTTAGTCCTTTTTTAGTCCTGGTTTAGTCCTAGTTTAGTCCTTTTTTAGTCCTAGTTTAGTCCTGGTTTAGTCCTTTTTTAGTTCTAGTTTAGTCCTTTTTTAGTCCTAGTTTAGTTCTGGTTTAGTCCTGGTTTAGTCCTTTTTTAGTCCTAGTTTAGTTCTGGTTTAGTCCTGGTTTAGTCCTTTTTTAGTCCTAGTTTAGTTCTGGTTTAGTCCTGGTTTAGTCCTAGTTTAGTCCTGGTTTAGTCCTGGTTTAGTCCTGGTTTAGTCCTGGTTTAGTCCTAGTTTAGTCCTGGTTTAGTCCTAGTTTAGTTCTGGTTTAGTCCTGGTTTAGTCCTTTTTTAGTCCTAGTTTAGTTCTGGTTTAGTCCTGGTTTAGTCCTTTTTTAGTCCTAGTTTAGTTCTGGTTTAGTCCTGGTTTAGTCCTTTTTTAGTCCTAGTTTAGTTCTGGTTTAGTCCTGGTTTAGTCCTTTTTTAGTCCTAGTTTAGTTCTGGTTTAGTCCTAGTTTAGTCCTGGTTTAGTCCTGGTTTAGTCTGGTTTAGTCTGTTTAGTCCTGGTTTAGTCCTAGTTTAGTCCTGGTTTAGTCCTGGTTTAGTCCTTTTTTAGTCCTATTTTAGTCCTGGTTTAGTCCTGGTTTAGTCCTGTTTAGTAGTTCTGGTTTAGTCCTGGTTTAGTCCTTTTTAGTTCCTAGTTTAGTTCTGGTTTAGTCCTGGTTTAGTCCTGGTTTAGTCCTGGTTTAGTCCTGGTATGGGCCCTTTAATGCTGTACTGTGGAACATTATAAAACCCCAGAGAAGTTCCTCAGTGCATCTTTAAAAAACAAAACCTTTAGGATTTCATAATAATTTTAAATTGTACCTGAGAGTTTTTGTCGTTCTTCTGTTTCTTTGTCGTCGTCGTTGTTCTTGAGTTTCCTGCGTCGACGCCTCGTCACCTGCTCCTCTTCAAAAAAACAACAACAAACAGGTTCTTTTCTTTCATTTCTCGTCTCAAAATCGTCGATAATTTCTGCAAAAATTGGAGCGTTGCACGACAAAATCGAGCGTTCATCTCACCACCGGCAGCTGTTTCCTGTTCTGGTTTGGTCAGAGAATATAGAGCACACGTGTTTTCACCTTAATATTTCACTGGTGTGTGGGAGACGTGATCCTCAAACACAAATTTACTTCAATTTGATTAAAAAAAATCTATCAAACTGTCAAATTTCCAAAAGTTTTGATTATTTAAAGCTCCTACGTCGCATTTATTACAGTTATTAACAATTAAAATCCTCTTTCCTCATCAGAAACCGAGCCGGAGTTGAGGTTTGTTTCTTTATTCTTCGTCTGTCTGCGTCTCCAAAGCTGAAAACTGTGCCGTGTTCCACCTTGTGATGTCATGAAGTGGTAGTTTTCAAGTGAGCAGCTCGAAAAACGACACGAAAAAACAACTATTTGCTTTGTTATTTGTCTCCAAAATGAAACACGACTGAGAAACCAGGACTAAACCAGGACTGAACCAGGACTGAACCAGGACTAAACCAGGACTGAACCAGGACTAAACCAGGACTAAACCAGGACTGAAACCAGGACTGAACCAGGACTGAACCAGGACTGAACCAGGACTAAACCAGGACTGAACCAGGACTGAACCAGGACTGACCAGGACTGAACCAGGACTAAACCAGGACTGAACCAGGACTGAACCAGGACTAAACCAGGACTAAACCAGGACTGAACCAGGACTAAACCAGGACTAAAACCAGGACTGAACCAGGACTAACCAGGACTAAACCAGGACTGAACCAGGACTGAACCAGGACTAAACCAGGACTAAACCAGGACTGAAACCAGGACTGAACCAGGACTAAACCAGGACTGAACCAGGACTGAACCAGGACTAAACCAGGACTAAACCAGGACTAAACCAGGACTGAACCAGGACTAAAACCAGGACTGAACCAGGACTAACCAGGACTAAACCAGGACTAAACCAGGACTGAACCAGGACTAAACCAGGACTGAACCAGGACTGAACCAGGAGAACTAAACCAGACTGAACCAGGACTGAACCAGGACTGAACCAGGACTAAACCAGGACTGAAACCAGGACTAAACCAGGACTGAACCAGGACTAAACCAGGACTAAACCAGGACTGAACCAGGACTGAACCAGCTTATCGTATGTAAGAATTATAGAAATTAATTTAGTTAATTTTTCCTTTTTAAATGTCTCGACAGAACAGAAAGAATTCAGATTTAAAAGTACTTTTCAAGTCACAGGCCTTAAATCCAAGTCGAGTCCCAAGTCTTAGTCCATTTCATCAAGTCAAGTCCTCTTAAGATGACTTGACAAAACTTCTAAAAAAAACAAATAATTAAGAGTTAAAAGTGTTAGAACTGTTATTTCTTCTTGTCGTCTGCATTGAAACGGAGCAAAGGATCATGGTCTGTGTAGTTCCTCTGACGTGGACATGTAATCTGTCCATTTTAACAAGAACTGGACCGGATTTTGGAGACTAGCCCAGAGTTTAGGCTCCTGACGTCGTTGTGTCTCCAGTGTCACATGTGGGACACATACAAGTCACATTTAACTGGAAATGTGAACGACTTCGCAAAAACATCGGATTTATCAAATATTTGGCAAGATTTGGCAATAGAGTCTTTGCATCGTCACGTGTCCCCATGGTAACGGTACCTACGCCGCCATGACACCGGGCACGACATGTCATCGACTTCAGCAGCGTCGGAGAAACATGGGCAGGTTCTGTTGTGTATTTGGTTTTTCTAGTTCAGACGTGTTCACACTTTTTCATCATGTGACCTACTTACAAAATGATCGACCTAATACAAAGTCAAACAAACTGCACTGAAACACTCTGTGCCCCTTTTTTGGACCCTCCCCCACAGTTTGAGAACCTCTTCTTTAAGAGAACTTCCTCTGGCACTTTACACAAAACTGTGAAAAAAGTGAAGGAAGATTTTTAAACCTGTTTTTTAAAGTTCCAAACTGGAGTTTCATTCTTTTGTGGTTTTGCAGTGATATTTACCAGCCTCTGCACGTTTACCAAACCAAACGCACATCGTGACAAACACAGATGCATTTGTCACTTTTGTTACACAAACTTCAGCCAAATGTGGCAGTAGGTCTGTTCTGTAGATCCGCTCTATGCTGTAGACCTGCTTTGTGCCAACACTGGAACACAAATTTAGACTGGTTTTTGCTTCACGTTTGGTCTTGTTCTTCTAATCAGCCGCACTGTGGGAGGGGCTTGTGTTCGCTGTACGCAGGAAGGAGCGAGAGCGTGAAAAGGCGAGGGGCGGCGTGCTGACGTGAGGCAGATGGACAGGTAGGATGTTTAGGAAGTTGAACCTGCCCTGTGACGCACGCTGGTACACGAGGGCACACGCTGTCGCAGACGAGCCGTGCATAGGGAGCGTGTGTGTTTGTGATGCGCCGTAGAGTCTCCGCGGGTTTCAAATGAGCGCACAGGCTGCACTGAGACGCCCCACACGCTCCTGCACCCGCTACAAGTTTATTACCAACAGCAGCGGCCGCAATGAAATATGATCACACTTGTTGAGTGTCAGACCTCGAGTGAGAGACAAGACCGAGTCCAAACACGAGTCCGAGACGAGACACGACGATCTACACACACGACCTTGGCCATCGACTGGTAGATCGAGATCGACGTATTGAGCACCACTGATCTAGACGCTCTGAGAGGGATAAAACATGTATTTTTTTTTATCATTCTATTATTATTATATTGTATGATGCTACTCCTATTTCTTGAGTGATTTGTTTATGTTTGTTAACTTTATTAGTTATGTTTTATCTGCATAAAAATGAAAAAAAAAAGTGTGTGTTCATGTGTTGTTTGAATGACATATCTGTATCTGTACGAAACCAAAAATTCCATGACTTTTCCATGACCGTGGGAACCCTGGACTTCAGTGGGTTTTGTCGAGAACGACACCGGGAGTCGTCGTCGTCTCATGTTTCCAAACGTCTTCCTGGTTTGTGACGTAATCGTGAAGAGTTTAGGCCTCCACAAACATCTTCGGAAAAACACGGGACTCTTGGATTCGTTAATTTTTCCGACATTGTTCATTTTTTGAGGCCTCGACTCGATTTCCCCCTCATGTATTTAAGTAAAATTTGACTCACCTCAGCACAGATCTCATGTTGAAGCAGCTGTCGAGGTCAAAATGTTTTCTGTGAACTCTCTGCATCAAATTATAACACATTTTCTTGGCCGATAATCAGGAAATGCGCTGTTAGCATGCCGCTCTGGCCTCAGGAGAACAGTCAAGACACTCTGACTCGGAATAACAACTTTGGAGCACTGCAAACTGTTTATAACGAACCAGTTTTTCACATTTTTCGGCCGTAAAAATCATGTACAGCACCTTTAAAAAACAAACAAAAACAAAAAAACCCAGAAACTTTTGACAGTTTTATCACAATATGGATTTCATGACACAAAATTCCTTGGATGTTTTCAAAAACCACCAAGAAATAACAATTTGTGAGCATCGTCTAGTATCTAAAATAATACGTTATTATTTTACAAGTCGATCCGCATGCAGTAAACGTATTTAAAATGTGCATGCTTCGCTCGTTTTTCACAAATCGTTCAAACGTTCCGGGTCAAATCACCGGCGTTTCCTCGTCGATTAAACTAAACTGCGTCGCCGGAATGTCGTGGACACTTAAAAAAGGATCTGGATGAGCTGGAGACCGTAAACTGGACCAGGAAATGGCCTGCGTGTCGGCAGCGTCCAGATCGATGAGCAGCGTCGTCGATAAAGTCGGATTTGAAGAGGAGTGTAGTTTTTGGGCGTCGCGTTCGCTCGGCGAGCCGGTGAGCGACGACGGAGCGGAAGAACGCGACAACTTCCTGCTCGGAGAAATGAGGAGATCGTGTGAGAAATGTCGGGTTAGGTTTGGGTTTTGGAGGTCGGACGTCGAGTCTTTGGTCGAGTCCGTGGCGGCGGCGTGCGCAGACGGGAAGTCCGGCGCCGGCGAGACGCTGTGGGACGACTGGTGGCTCGGGGGCGGGGTTATGTTGGTGAGGGGCGTGGTCAGCGCCGTGTAAGGGCTGAGGAGGAGGGGCTTGAGGAGGCGTGTCACTTCCTGTAGTTCCTGACTGACGCTGGTCACCTGACGGGACAAAGCGCTCATCTGGAAAAACACCAAAGAGGTTTGAGAAATTAGAGATTTATTTAAATCTGTCATATATAAATCGTATATTTATTCTTAATTGTTTTAACTTAAAAAAAATTCAACTGTGTAATTATGTTTTGCATCTCACCTCATGTTTGAGTTTGGATATTGTTCTCATGGCGTCCGCCGCCTCAGGATCCACTGTGGACGACACAAAAACACTCAACTCTTTATATTGAAGATTTAAAGGTGCACTGTGTAACTTTTTCTGGTCCATCAAACACTTTTCTACTTGGAAATGCTGTTGCTTTGGAATGTTCCGCAGTGTGGCATTAAACAATCTAACTTTCTATCTATACGGAAACCAAACCAAGTTCCAGGTCAGATCTGTGGAGAGGCGACGCCGCTCAGTCACAATGTCTGTTTTTCTAGGGATTTTTGAGCAATAAAACCAACTGTGATTGAATAAATGTAAAGTCGAGCTGTTTTATGTCACCTGAGCTGTTTTCAGGTCTGAACGGTGTCGTTATCGTGTCGGTTCCTGCTCCAGTTCCACTGGGAACTAAAGTTCTGACCGGAGAACGAGCCGCGATCAAACTATTTACATGAACCCAAGACGCGTCATCGACAGAGTGGATTTACCACCAAATAAAAACAAGACCACATGAAAACAGACGTCACAGGAGGAAAATAACAATCATGGATCAAATCATCAACACCAGTGAGAGTTTGTATTTATATAAATCATTATTTATGTTTATTTATGCACCAAACTCTGACACAACATGGATCTGCTGTGGAGACGACGACAGCGACGCCAAATACAAAGATGGAATCTCATCAGGAAACACGGACACATGAAAAACCAACGGGACCGAAGAGTTTCTGTAGAATTAAAACTTTTCATTTCATACGTGATAGTTTCAGTTGCTCTTAGTTTGTTTATTTTCCTGTGTGAATCTGGATGAACGAGCTGACGTCTTCTGTGTCGTCATGATTTGCTTAGAAAAACAAGTTTTACTTAGTTCCTTTTGGGAACCTGACGCTCTCCACCGACACCAACACGATTCTCTGTCGGCCTGAAAACTCCTAATGTGGAACATTCCAGACAGAGCGATGACGTATCCATAGTAACGAGCAGGTGACGGGCCCAACCACCAAAAAGTTACATAGTGCACCTTTAACAAACATTTTTTTCCCGGTTTTGCCGTTTTTTGCTTTCAGATTTGACTTTTTCCTGGTTGTAAATCCTGACATCACACGAGGGAATTCAATAACTGTTACCATAGCAACCGTGTACACTCCTCTCAAATGAAGTAGAAAAAAATGTGAGAATCTTACAAAATCTGTCATTCACACTTTAAATAATCTGTGTGTTGGAAGTAAAATGAACCTGGAGACGTTGCGTCTGGACTGGGAGGAAAACTGTGACTCGCGCTCGGAGAAAAATCATATCTGGACGAGTTCTGGTTTTCACCTCCGTCCACAAACCTGGAAGACAAAAAAACAATAATTTAACTCGGGTTTTCCAAGGATTCATGATGTGTGTGTTAGAGGAGCATAAATGCACCTGAATGTGAGTGTGTGTGTGTCGTACCGTGTGCTGAGCTGCGTCTGGGGGCAGGACAGGCTGACCACAGGGATCTGCAGGGTGACGGGTCGGGCGCTCGGGTCGGCGGGGGGTCTGAAGGCTCGCGGGGGGAGGAGGGGCGAGCGGAGGGGGGAGCGCAGACCGTGGGACGTCCTGCCCGAAGGCATTCTGGGAGATCCCTCGGAGCTGGAGCCCTCCTCGTCCTCCCGGATCGACGCCAGCTTTTTGGCGATGCCCCCGTTGCTTTCGAAATCGTCCTGAAGGAAAAAAAAACGAAAGAAAACAGAGACGTGAGGAAACAAAACACAAACACGATACAAGCATAAAGTGACAATGTGAAATGATTTAAAGGTTTGTGTTTCTTGCTTCACTTCAGATCTGGTTTAGTTCGTCTCATTTTTGTGTCTGTCCTTTGAAAACATCAGATTTTGTGAATTTAAAATATTCTTTAACTGAAACTTTGCAGCAGAAAAGTAACAATAACCAAAATATCGTGATATTTTATCGTCAAAAGTCTCACAATAATATCAGACTCACAAGGCTAGACCTGGTTTAGTCCTGTTTCAGTCCTGGTTCAGTCCTGGTTTAGACCTGGTTTAGTCCTTAGTTTAGTCCTGGTTTAGACCTGTTTTAGGTCTGGTTCAGTCCTGACTTTCTCCTGGTTCAATCCTGGTTTAGTCCTGTTTTAGTCCTGGTTTAGTTCTGTTTTAGACCTGGTTCAGTCCTTGTTCAGTTCTGTTTTTGTCCTGGTTCAGTCCAGGTTTAGACCTGTTTTAGTCCTGGTTTAGTCCTGGTTTAGACTTGGTTCTGTCCTGGTTCAGTCCTGTTTTAGTTCCGTTTTAGTCCTGTTTTAGTCCTGTTTTAGTCCTGGTTCAGTCCTGGTTTAGTCCTGTTTTAGTCCTGTTTTAGTCCTGGTTTAGTCCTTGTTTAGTCCTGGTTTAGTCCTGTTTTAGTCCTGGTTCAGTCCTGTTTTAGTCCTGGTTTAGTCCCGTTTTAGTCCTGGTTTCAGTCCTGTTTTAGTCCTGGTTTAGTCCTGTTTTAGTCCAGTTTTAGTCCTGGTTGGGTTTAGTCCTGGTTTAGTCCTGGTTTAGTCCTGTTTAGTCCTGTTTTAGTCCTGGTTTAGTCCTGTTTAGTCCTGTTTAGTCCTGGTTTAGTCCTGGTTTAGTCCTGGTTTAGTCCTGGTTTTAGTCCTGGTTTAGTCCTGGTTTAGTCCTGGTTTTAGTCCTTGTTTTAGTCCTGTTTTAGTCCTGGTTTAGTCCTGGTTCAGTCCTTGTTTTAGTCCTGTTTTAGTCCTGGTTCAGTCCTTGTTTAGTCCTGGTTTAGTCCTGTTTTAGTCCTGGTTTAGTCCTGGTTTAGTCCTGGTTCAGTCCTTGTTTAGTCCTGGTTCAGTCCTTGTTTAGTCCTGGTTCAGTCCTGTTTAGTCCTGGTTTAGTCCTGGTTCAGTCCTGGTTTAGTCCTGGTTTAGTCCTGGTTCAGTCCTGTTTAGTCCTGGTTTAGTCCTGGTTTAGTCCTGGTTCAGTTATAGTCTGTGATTCATGTTCTGTAGTTGATTATAAACAGCGTTAAAAAAAAACATCAAATTTTACAGATTTTCACTGGACTGGCGCCTTTATGTTTGTACTGAAAGGGATTTTGTGATTTTTTTTCTTTTTTTTTTTTAAATAAACAAACAATCTAAATGCCACCTGTGCGTGTTTTCGGTGGGTCAGGCTTGAGTTTACAGTTTTTGGGGTGAAGGTGGATGGAGCGGAGGCATTTTTGTTTTGTAAAGGAGCTCATCACCGCTGGAAAAATGTAAAGTCAATGTTCTGCGATGTGGTGTAGTGCTGTTGTTTGTCCAGCAGGAGGAGCTCGTGTGTCGTGTAAAAGTCGGAGTCATTCACAGAATCGGCTCCAGCGTCTGAGTCCATTCAGTTTATCACAGAGAATCTCATTCAGAGTAAATCCAGCGAGGCTCATTTGGAGCAGGTTTAAAAGGTTATCTCTGATTGTGACACGAAGCAGCCGCGTCCGGACTCAAAGAAAACCAAAAAAACACTGAAGTCCCGGGCTGCAGACGACAGGGAAGGAGAACATTCATCTTATAAGGTACAGGACGAGTTATGTGAAGACGAACAGGACCGAGTCTGGTTAATAGAGAAACACAAAACACAAAACAAAAACATAAAACACAAAACACAAAAGTGACTCTGTGAGATTTAAGTCATGTTACAACAATGGAACTGTGTTTTATTTCATTCACACCTTTAAACCTGGTTTAGACCTGGTTTAGTCCTGATGGTTTAGTCCTGGTTTATATCTCATTTAGACCTTGTTTAGACCTGTTTTAAACCTGGTTTAGACCTGGTTTAATTTAGTCCTGGTTTAGACCTGTTTAAACTTGGTTTAGACCTGATTTAGACCTGGTTTTAGTCCTGATTTGGACCAGGTTTAGTCCTGGTTTACATCTGGTTTACACCTGGTTTAGTTTAGACCTGGTTTAGACCTGGTTTAATTAAGTCCTGCTTTAGATCTGGTTGAGTTTAGTCCTGGTTTAGATTCTGGTTTAGTCCTGGTTTAGTCCTCTGGTTTAGTCCTACCTGGTTTAGTCCTGGTTTAGTCCTGGTTTAGTCCTGGTTTAGTTCCTGGTTTAGTCCTGGTTTAGTCCTGGTTTAGTTTTTAGTTCTGGTTTAGTCCTGGTTTAGTTCCTGGTTTAGTTTTAGACCTGGTTTTAGTCCTGGTTTAGTCCTGGTTTAGACCTGGTTTAGAGAGTCCTGGTCTAGACCTGGTTTAGTCCTGGTTTAGTCCTGGTTTAGTTCTAGTTTAGACCTGGTTTAGTCCTGGTTTAGTCCTGGTTTAGTTCTGGTTTAGTTCTGGTTTAGTTTAGTCCTGGTTTAGTTCCTGGTTTAGTCCTGGTTTAGTCCTGGTTTAGACCTGGTTTAGACCTGGTTTAGTCCTGTCCTGGTTTTAGTCCTGGTTTAGTCTGGTTTAGTTCCTGGTTTAGTCCTGGTTTAGTCCTGGTTTAGTTCCTGGTTTAGTTCTGGTTTAGTCCTGGTTTAGTCCTGGTTTAGTTCTGGTTTAGACTTGGTTTAGTCCTGGTTTAGTCCTGGTTTAGTCCAGGTTTGTTTGTTATGAGGAAACATTAAAACTTGTATCAGAAAATCATTTTATCGACGCCCGTGATGATGATTCTGTTCAGTTTTTCTTGTTTTTTTAATGATTCTGTTCAGTTTTTCTTGTTTTTTTAATGATTCTGTTCAGTTTTCTTGTTTTTCTTGTTTTTTTTTAATGATCTCGTTCTGTTTTTCTTGTTTTTACGTGGGTAAAAATCCCCTCTTTAAATCTCTTTGTAACGTGCGGCGGGTAAAACCGCTGCTCCACTCTTGTCGATCTTCTTCACGCTCGCCTTCTCCTCCGTCCGCAGACTCTGAACGCCGCAGCTGACGTTACAGCAGCTTTCAACCACGTGAACATCAAATCATTTACATATGACGAAGCACGTGGGGCAGTAAACAGTACGTCCTCCTTTAACGCGGCTGTGAAATCCCCGACACGTCCTTCCTCCTCCTCCTCCTCATCGCTCGCTCCCTCCAGGCAAAACCGCAGCTAAATTTAAACCTCCACGAGCTAAAAATAAAACAGACGCACGTGTGGATCTGGACCAGAGACAAGGAAGACCACAAGAAAGACTCAAGAAAGAGACGACAGAGGTTTGGGCGGCGGACGGTTTCACAAGTGTCAACAATCTGATTAAAAATATGTGTAAATAGAAACTAGATCGAAAGTCCCACTGACAGAACAGAGCAGAACCTTTAGAACCTTTAAAACCTTTAGAACCTTTAAACCTTTAGAACCTTTAGAACCTTTAGAAAGATCTGGAGATGGACCAGAACAAGAACAAGAGCACAGAGACTAGAATATACACACTGACCTGGTTTAGTCCTGGTTTAGACTGGGTTTAGTCCTGGTTTAATCCTGGTTTAGTCCTGGTTTAGACCTGGTTTAGACCTGGTTTAATCCTGGTTTAGACCTGGTTTAGTCCTGGTTTAGTCCTGGTTTAGACCTGGTTTAGACCTGGTTTAATCCTGGTTTAATCCTGGTTTAGTCCTGGTTTAGACCTGGTTTAATCCTGGTTTAGTCCTGGTTTAATCCTGGTTTACATCTGGTTTAGACCTGGTTTAGTCCTGGTTTAGACCTGGTTTAATCCTGGTTTAGTCCTGGTTTAGACCTGGTTTAGACCTGGTTTAATCCTGGTTTACATCTGGTTTAGACCTGGTTTAGTCCTGGTTTAGACCTGGTTTAATCCTGGTTTACATCTGGTTTAGACCTGGTTTAGTCCTGGTTTAGACTTGGTTTAATCCTGGTTTAGTCCTGGTTTAGATCTGGTTTACATCTGGTTTAGACCTGGTTTAGTCCTGGTTTAGACCTGGTTTAGACCTGGTTTAGTCCTGGTTTAAACCTGGTTTAATCCTGGTTTAATCCTGGTTTAGACCTGGTTTAATCCTGGTTTAGTTCCTGGTTTAGACCTGGTTTAATCCTGGTTTACATCTGGTTTAATCCTGCGTTATTCTTAGTTTAGATTTGAATTAGTTTTGGTTTAGACCTGATTTAGACCTGATTTAGTCCTGGTTTAGACCTGGCTTCAACTTGGTTTAGACCTGGTTTAGTTTAGTCCTGGTTTAGACCTGGTTAAGATCTGGTTTACATCTGGTTTAGTCCTGGTTTAGTCTGGGTTTAGACCTGGTTTAAATCTGGTTTCTTGTTTCGTTTAGTCCTTGTTGAGACCTGGTTTTTCACCTGGTTTATGACTGGGTTTAGATCTGGTTTTGTTTAGTCCTGATTTAGACCTGGTTTAGACCTGGTTTCGTTTAGTCCTGGTTGAGCTCTGGTTTAAACCTGGTTTAGTCCTGGTTTAGTCTTAGTTTAGACTTGAATTGGTTTTGGTTTAGACCTGGTTTAGTTTATTCCTGGTTTAGTCCTGGTTTAATCCTGTTTTAGAGCAGATTTAGTCCTGGTTGAGACCTGGTTGAGACCTGGTGTAGATCCGGTTTAGATCTGGTTTTGTTTAGACCTGGTTTAGTCCTGGTTTAGATCTGGTTTAGATCTGGTTTAGATCTGGTTTAGATGTGGTTTAGATCTGGTTAAGGCCACATGGGATTTTGAAGGAAAATACTATAATCACATTTTGTTGTGTAAATAAATCAGTATTGATCTGTTCTACAGTTTGACTTCAGTTTTATTGTGGATCAGGTTCTGAAATCAAACTTCAAATTTATTC